GTGAGAGTGGAAAACAAGAGCAAGATAATGGCTTTGGCGAAGAAGAGCAGAGAAAAAAAGGCATAAAAAGCACTTAGGTTCAGAGAAGACGTGGAAGTAATGTAGATAGAGTGAGCAGATGTGGAAAACAAAGAGAGAGTTATAAGAACAAAATACAATAAAGGAGGAAAATAGAAAGTAAGAAAGGAGAATAGAAAGGAGAACATTGTAAACAGAGCTGTGATTTACAAGTAGCTAAAGGTGATAGAAAACATGAAAGAATGAAAGTATAATATGCATTTGTTAACTTGGAGGGGTTACTGTTGGTGACCGTAATCATCATCAAAGAGAGATAAAGTTATGTCAGTCATATAGACAGACTTTGGGAAGGCAGGATTACTTAACCAAAGAGGTGTAACATGTATATCAAGTCACATGAAAATTTACATGGTTAAAATAATTAATTCTGAAACACTAATACCTTGGAATATCTGCAGAAATTCTCATATATTCTGTATATATATGTAATTCAATACCTACCTTTCCTGAAAAGTAAAAAGAGTAGTTTGATCCGGGCTGCAATCTTGGCATCCACCTGCTCAAGTAATATAGGATTGAGTTGAAAGATATGATGGATGGAGTATGAATGGATGGACGGATGGATGGAGTATGAATGGATGGATGAATGAGATGATGGACTGATGGAAGATAGAAAGGCACATCCAGATCACTTTAAACATAGTGATGCAACTGTATACATTTTTAAATTTTGTTTTCTACATATTAGTCTGAATCGTTTTAGATTCAGTTTATCTCATGTTTTGTAATATTTAACATAAACAGATACGAGGGCTCAATATTTTAAGTTCTATTCTATTAGCCATTCCTGTTACTTACTTGCCACTATAAACTTCCTACTGCTATGTAGTTACCTCTTAAAACCTGGTGGTAGCACATACAGCAGACCTTTTGTAATGTGCTTTCTGTTATACAAGTTTAGAACAGGGAATTTAGGGGACCCCCGATATATTATCTTTGCAGTAATTAACTCTTATCTTTCTTAAGTATGCCTGCATATTTACATGTATTGAGTGGAGAGGATCTGTTTCCCTTACAAATCTGTAAGATTGTCTGCTTGGTATTTAAGCTCTTTGCTGCCATATTTGAAGTAACCCCATACACAATGTCTGAGTTTAGTATGGGCTGTTGGCTAATGAGTGGATTTTCACAATTTTAGAACTGTAAATTTTTGATACCTTGTTCGGTTGTTTAATGCTGCTCTTGGTGGCCACAAATATCAGCTGAGAAGCCAATGCTATTAAGCTGTTGTTTTTGAACAATACAGAAGATTCCTATATGCAGTAAGGTGTCTTTTTACGAACTCTCTTGAGTTGAATTTCCACTTGCCTGTGGCTAGTAAATGAGTGGACATTTTGAATCCTGCAGTCATTGCTCAGAAAACAAATTTAGTTTTCACTGCACATATATATATATATATATATATGTATATATATATATATATATATATATATATATATATATATATATATATATATATATATATATATATATTTATTTTAATGAAACAACACAGTTTCTAAATTCGATACAATAGATTTTTATACACACACATTTAAACAAGCACATGAACAAACAGAGACAAAACAATTGTCCCTGTGTTTCAAATAAATGTACCCTGTATACATATCCAGAATGCTAATTTTAATCATTAGAAGGATATTTATTGAGGTTCTATTCGTCAAACCATGAGCATCTGAAATGCATAGGAATTGATTTCCTACAACTAACTCTTAGACGAAGTGACAGCTTAATGAGATTATCTTGCTAAGAGTTTTATGGACATTTGATTTTCAACCGCAGATGCATTGTAGGTTTACCTTTCTCCTTTTATGTATTCAATATAAGCTACGATAATTTATTGTATTTTTGAATAAGTTAATTCATATTTTTTTGTTGCTAATGAAAATATCACAAGTATACAGCCCTTAATGACAACATTGTGGTATCTTTATCCCACTGATACATCAATTATTCTTTGCTAACACTTATCAGCACTTTCTTAAAAAACCTGCTGTCAGAATTGTCACCTTACTGACATTTAACTGTTAACTGGTCGATAATGACATATCCCGAATCACGATGATCTAATGGTTTTATGTATGCTGCACTAATGATTGTGAGAAAAAAAATAAAAATAATATTAACTGTTTAAGGACTGAAAGAAACAGTCATGCATTATGGATTTATTTTCTCCATAATAGTTAAAGGACAAGATAGAGTACAGAAATGTCTATGTTGCTTTTAAAAATAAATGTTTTTTGTTGCCAACTGTGTTTAAATAATTTGTCTTGCTTGTCAATGGAGCATAATTGACACTTGACCATGAACATGCAGACTTGATGACTAGGTGAAATCCTTAACCCCTTAAGGACCTGATGTAAAATGTTGGTGCCATTCCAAATTTACCCAATATACCATGCCATAAAAGCCCTGGTTGGTTTGCATTAGCAGTTTAATTCAGCTCTACTGTTGTTGACTGTTGAGTGGAGCAATTCTATTTTAGTATTAAATCTATAATGAACAGTTTGTTATGATAAGACAGACTATCACTGGCAGTTAAAGGGTTAAACCATTATATGTTTCTATGTTTAACCACACTCCTGTTTAACCCCCATCAAGATCAATGACATGCCTTATGGAATTTATTACGTTACTTTATAAAAATGCCTTTTACCTTTTAACAGGGACCTTTGTAAATAATGACAAAAAGTATTGCTGCTGTGCATCATGCAGTCTGTTTAATAAACCTTTCTGGTTAAAGAGAAAACTGGAAAACCCTACACTAAGCTTAAAATATATGTATATCTTCATTGCTAAATATGTGAATACCTTCTGGTATTTAACCCCTTAAGGACACATGATGGAAATATTCCATCATGATTCCCTTTTATTCCAGAAGATGTGTCCTTAAGAGGTTAAACAACTCACAGGAAATATTAAAAGAAGGCGTTCCCTTTTAGCAGCTCGGTGGGCTTTTTGGAAACACCTGTCTTGATGACATATGTTCTGCAGTTGTCGGCATATTATATTCTAGCAGTTCTACGGTTATAGTTTTCGTTAACAACCATATTATAAATTCTATAAAGCTGTGGTTAAATGGCCTACTCATCTTATACATGTTTCACGTCTTTATTAAAGGGATACTCTAATCCAGACCCCTAAAGCATTTTAGCTTGCTGAAAAGCTTTATGTGTGAAGAGTGTATCCACTTTTTAAATTTTGCAAAACGTGCAGATTTCAGTAAAAGCTGGTACTTTTATAAATTATACTGGTTACACCCCTTTGGTGTATCAGACAATCAGACAACATGGCCTGTTACATCCTGGCTGTTTAGCCCGGTGGAGGTAAACTCAAGAGGCAGCAATTGCTCAGAGCAGCCATCATCCAAAGACTTCTCATTAAGCTGCATTAGGAAGTCTTTGATTGGAAAGCCACAGAAAGTCTGGGCAGGATTGGAAGGGGAGGGGTTGCAAAGGCAGCAGACAAGAGATCTGCAGGTTTTGCAAGCTGTTTGTAGATATACCTCCAATAAAGAAATGCACAATTAAATGCAGGCATGTTTTTATTTGGGGTTTATCTACAGTGATTTTTATTTATTTTGTATTTGGGCAATGGATTGTCCCTTTAAGGTTGGATAATCGGTCCAAGTGAATGTTACCGGTAGGACAGGAATTTTTACCAGTGAGCACCCTTTAGTCTACAACTCTCTTTCAAAGGTTAGCTGTAGATATATATATGATAGATATTCTTATATATATATATATATATAAACTTATAACTAATTTTCTGTATTCTGAATGCTGCCTGTAACGTTAGTACGCAGTTTCACTACTTGGCTGACAATACATTAGCAAATTGGTAATCACATTTTCATTGTTAGTCTTAACGGAAAATTGATACTTGTTTAATAACTGCGGATCAGACATAAAAATCCAATGACCAGTGGGCATTTTTGGTAGGAATACATATTGTGTAGGCAGCATCGAGCAACGGCGCACAAGCACGCCAAGCATAAATTAGCATTCTTTTGATTTAAATCCTGCGTATGCCTACACAGATTATGGCTTTCTCCTTGTTCAAGTTTTCTCTGTGCATCCCCATAGGCATTCATAATATGAAATGTATGTTTTATTGGAATAGCTCTGCACAGTGTTTGAAAACAGATCTAGTGTAAAAGACCTGGTAGGCAGTGAGAATGTAACATGGAGGATAATGCAACGTCTGCAGGCAGATGGAACTAGCTGTTATTTTTTTTATTTTTTTTTAAAGCATGCATCACATGAAGACCTAATTAGCAGATCAATTCCACAATTTAGACCCAGAGAGAGACATTTATCATTGAGTTGCATTTTGTACAAGTATTCACAGGCAGAGAACTGCAGGATTAAGTGTATATGTTTCATGTGATGCAAAATTATAGATATATGATATCTTTTGCTTTAGTATAGCACTGCTTTACATAAATATTGTGCATGCATGCAACCCATTTAGAGATTTGCTGCTGCTTCTCATATACCATATAGCTTTAGTTAAACTCAGAATGCTGAATGTTGCCATCAAATGATAGAGTGTTGGTTGAGTAGATCGCCTCTAGGGGGCAATCACTGGGGTTTATTCACTAAATAAACAAGGGAATTGTGAAGAATAGACAAGCAAATTAGACATTCTTGGCCAAAAATGCTAGATTTAAAAAAAATCTACAACCTACCTAGTTATCTAGCTATAGAATTTTGACCTTAACTTTGAAAACTTTTGCTAATTTTCCAAAATTTTGGTCTTAGTCAATAAGCTTGTCAGTTGCCAAGAAAATGGATGTCTAGTCTAGACTACGACTAGTGATGTCCCAAACGGTTCGCCGAACGGTTCGAAAACGGTTCCCCGTGAACGGTTCGCCATGGACTCATCATTGAGTAAACTTTGACCCTGTACCTCACAGTCAGCAGACAAATTCCAGCCAATCAGCAGCAGACCCTCCCTCCCAGACCCTCCCACCTCCTGGACAGCTCACTAAGAATGCAGCTTCAAAATGGATGCTGTCCAGGAGGTGGGAGGGTCTGGGAGGGAGGGTCTGCTGCTGATTGGCTGGAATGTGTCTGCTGACTGTGAGGTACAGGGTCAAAGTTTACTCAATGATGAGTCCGTGGCGAACCGTAGCGAACCGTTCGGGACATCACTAACTACGACGCATTTATTTCCATTTTTGTTTGGTTTGCTGCTCGTACATCCCCTCCATTTATTCTTAAACTCCTCAGCCCTCTCATCTCTACTGGAAAACAATTACATGCATCAATGACACCCATTAGAACCAGATTTCTTAGTTTATACTTAGTTGGTATAATCAGTGCATCAAACTAATACTATTTCAAGGTGTCAGTATGCTGCCTGTAAAAATCAATCAGTAGAACAGTAGTGCCCAAAAGGTAGATCCCCAGATGTATTAAAACTACAGCTCCCATAATGCTTTGGCATTCTAAATAAATGCAAAGCATCATGGGAGTTGTAGTTCCACAAGAACTAGGAATCTACCTTTTGGGCAACCCTGCGGTAGAATGCATTTATTGCCCCGTTTTTGTGTAGTGGTATGAAAACAGATTACCTAATAATGGCACCCTTATTACTAATCCATTCTCATTTCCCTCAATGGAGAAAAAGATTCATCATCCTTCTGCAATGGTACATATCCCAAGGACAAAAAGGGTGTCACATCAATAAAAGTATACCATAAGCAATCTGTTTATTGGATAAACTATTGTGGATTTTTCTACTGCCACCTGCTGGTGTAGTAGTATGAGCCAAGTCAAGTCTGGCTGTCATAAAAGAATATGAGAAAATGTCTTATTTAAGCTAAATTAAAGACAAAAGACATCGGGCAAGCTGCAACAAACAAAGTATTCTACAGGCAATGTTTACAAATGACTGGCATTCACAGGAAATTACATATTCTCCTGTGACCCATTTGCTTGGGTCTCTAATCATCTTAAAAAATCTACATCAATCCAAGTCTTGTTAGTACAGTGGTCAAAAATTGGTAAGATAAAAACAGTACAAAATTATTTCACCAATATTAACATATTTATATAGGACTATATAATACTACAATATAATATTTATATAGGACTGTAATAGCCCCTTTGCAAATCTTTTTTCAAAGATTGGAAGGTTTGGAATCTCACACAAACTATTAAAAGGCTGACATTTTTGTTCAAATAACTATGACTTTCAATGGGCAGTCATCTCCAGAGTAGATATCTATGGAAAAATAGTATGGACTGGCTTTATTGTTAGAAACCTTAGATGCCATACTCTACAGCAGTGGTGGGCAACTGTAAGTGTTCTTACAGTCATAATGCTGACAAAGCATTAGGGGAGTCCCGTAGTCCACAGCATCTGGAGTACCGAAGATTGCTTAACCCAGTCCTATAGGAAGCCCAATTTAATTTATGGGGAATTTCAATCAACAATTTCAATCAATTAATAGAAGGAGTTATACTAGGGACGGACTGACCACTCGGGCAGATCGGTCAATGACCGTGGGCCCGAGGCAGTCAGGGGCCCAGCCGGCTGAACTGCCATACTCTCTCTCTGGCTGGGGAGATCAGAGAAAGGGGCCCTTGGTCTCCCATTGCCGAGGGCCCTCTGAGTTGTCAGTCCTCCCCTGGGTTATACATTATAGTTCAAATATAGAGCATGTTGTAAGTTTGCTTAAAAAGTATCAGGCAATAAAATGTAACTTCTAGCGTGGAAACAAGTTTCCTATTATTCTCTATGGGAGACATTAAAACCCTTGGCAGCCCAAGAATAGCAAGTCGCAAGTGGTAAGATTTTCCTGTATGATTAGAAGCCTGTTGAAAAACCCTAACGACAACATTGGATATGAGCCCTCAGTAATTAAAAGGAAAATAGCTGATTAATAGGTAATGGGAAAAAGTTAGCAACAATATTTAAGGGGGCCTTTAAATCTCCTATTTAAATGATCTATTTACACCATTCAAATAGGAATGGTATATGAAGGAAAACTCACTGTTTGTAAATATTTTTATTTTATCACATAACTCGTGAAACATAATAATTAATATCAAAATAGGTTACAGTTTGCATTATGGGACCACTCCACACCGATACAGCACTTCAGCTTGCCATAATAATGACAGTTTATAAAAGTGCAGAAATCAGCACTTTTACAAAATACCCCATGGCTGTCAATCAAACCAGTAGGTGTGCTCTACTTGAGCACTTCCCCGCATAGTTCAGCCAGCGCACACAAACAGCAGACATGTCCTCCAGAGCAGGCATGCATGGAGGAAGCCCTTCAGAGGTTTCTCAATGAGAATATTTTGATTGGCTATTTCCCTGTGAAGAGACTGCAATTCTCTTCCAGGTAAAAAGGGGAGGACTTGCAAAGGTTGCAGTTCATAAGAAACTGCAAACTGTATTAAGATATAACCTCAATGAATACATGCATGAATATTCATTGAGGTGTTTCTACTAAACATTGATTTCTATTTTATTTTATTTTTTTTCAAATATGACCAGTGCAGTATTTTTTTAACTCAGAACTTTTCGAGGCATAAAAAGCCTTTTACATGCAATAACATTAAACAGTAATGCAATATTTGTTCTTTATGCAACTTAGAACAATTATCTTGAAAATGTGGAAAAAAAAGATAAAAATGAACTTATTGTTTTAAATAAAGCCAGTTTAGCCACTGGTGACTTCTACTTATTATTATTTCAGTAAGAGGAGTCTTTAAAAAAAAAAAAAAAAATATTCCAAGCACGTAAATTAATTTAATTGATTATTCTATATGGTCAAATTATTTCTGACATTGATGTGTTATTGTTAGGGAACATTTTGTTTTTAAATGTAAATTCAGATTTTTGCTACATCTTAATAAACTAAGTTTGCCTTTATTACCCCCATGTCAAACACCATTATATCACGAGAACTGTAAAAGCATAACTGCAAGGTGTTTTAGTGCTGATAGTGAAATACAATGGAAATTAGCCAATTGAATGTTGTATGTTTTCTTTTGCAGGTTATTCAATAATGCCATTACGTAGGTGTTGCTATTCATCTCAAGCAAATCACTTATTATTTGGCAACTGTATCATGCTAATTATTTATTCTATTAACTGTAACCCAGGGAAAATGAATTTTCTCTTCACATCTATGATGTCAAATATATTTTGGAGATAAAGTAATATAATAGATAAGCCCAAATAAACAATTATGGGAAAGAAACTTACCCCTGAACTCTTGTGTTCTAGAATGGGTTTTTAGCACAAGATTTATTAGACTGGTAGAGATAACAAAAATGTTTTTGAATATTCAGTTATAGTTTTTGAATTTCTTCAGCTTTAAACTTAAATTGACTGTTATCCATACCATACTTAACAGGGTCATCATCAGATTGCATAATGTTGTATTCTTTTTTTATACCTTTTGATGGTTGGCAACAAATGTGTAGATTAAATATATACTTATCTGAATATTGCTACTTCATGTAAGATGTCTTTATTTATTTTGTTATATATAAATATTTAAGACACCTTGAATGAAGTAGCAATATTCAAATAAGTATATCTTTCATTTATTATATATATATATATATATATATACACATACACATACACACATTCAAGTGTTTATATAGTGTTCTTATTCAGAGCTTTACACATTTTAACAATTGATCATAGGTATTCATATTAGATATATTAACACAAAAGGAGAAGACTGTCCTGCTAGTAGACTTAAGTCTAACATTTATAGTAAGGTTTATGTCTTAAGTCTAACATTGATGGTGAGGTTTATGTCTTAAGTCTAACATTTATAGTAAGGTTTATGTCTTAAGTCTAACATTGATTGTGAGGTTTATGTCTTAAGTCTAACATTGATGGTGAGGTTTATGTCTTAAGTCTAACATTTATAGTAAGGTTTATGTCTTAAGTCTAACATATTTGGTGAGGTTATAGTGAGAAAAAAAACAAAAATCAAAACTTAGACCCAGATTTAGAAAGGTAACAGCGAATACATATTTCACCTTTATCTCTATGATCCTACCTATAGATAGATCCTATGTTTACATGTGACTTTTGTTTGTTTGATGTGGATTGTATTCATATAAAACACATTCATGTCCCATATATAACCTTGTGTATTTGGTGTGTTGTATGGAGAGAAAATGTACAGAGCAGAGAGAGAAAATTTGGCTCAGTCGAACCATTGTTTTCTGAAATTAGAACATTTTTCGATGCACCTGAATTTCAGCTGAATGTTGGTTTGACTCAGCCGAATTTCTGTACTGAGATTTTGATTAAGAAAATCAGACTAGTGGCGCAAAAAAAGCTGTGGAAATGGGTCAATCACTCTGCTGCAAATTATATACATAATGTTATAGTTTGTATGTATTGTGCAGCACCATGGTAGGAGCATTTTGCCGCCATTTGGTTCACAGATCAAGTGACAAAAAAATAACCAATACTGAGAAAAACAGGAGAAGCAGAAAAATACCATGAATATATACATTTATAAATACAGTTTTTACAGCTCCTCCTTTTTTCCCTTCTATTACCCACTTTTCATTTTATCTTTGAATAAAATCAACATTTAGTAGCAGACCCCTAGCCATCTATCATCTTTTATTTCCATCAATCATCTCTTTTATTGGTGCCGGAATTCAGAAACATGACCCTGAAGCGAACTATTGGTCCGTGATTCGGATTCATTTTGACTCCGAATTTAGGAATTCAGCTGATCATCCAATCATGATAAATTCACCCAGTTTGCAGTTTGTCTTGAAATGAATCTCCAAGTGTAGTGTGTTGGGGTTTATGGTGTACTAAGAGCTTTAAAAATAATACAAAAAGATAGAAGTGTGCGTATTTTATTACAGATGGCAGAGGAAGGCTGTAAGGGATGACGTGTTAAGGGGAGAGCTACTACAATTCTCTAAAGAAGCATGTATTTAGAAATGTTTTGAAGGATTACAAAGACAGGTAGAGTTGGATGTCCTGTGGGAGGGCATTCCCTAACAAAAAGCAATTCTGGATGAAACCTGCAGGTAAGAGTCTGGGGTGTGGGTGTGAGAACAGGACAG